AATTAACCAGAGAGGAAAATGAGTTTGAGCTCCAGAGGACCCCTCTGCCCCCCAGTCCTCAGCATACCTGCCAGGCGGAGAGGCTGATGCGGGCCAAGGTGAGAACTGCACCAAACTCCACTGCTGTGTATTGAACCTCCGCTCTGAGGTTGTGGGATTAAATTAACTCGTTAATTGATCGCTCCAGCAGAGCCTCTGCTCTGGGGAATGTGGATTGTCTCGACCTGACGGGGCATTGTTCAGTGGAGGCGCTCCGATGTGTTTCTGGGACTCTGATTGAATCTCGGAGCGCGTTACACAAGCGTTATACAGCCGCAGGGCTCTCCATCACCTCCTGTAATAAATAACCCGGCGAGGCCTGATAAGAGCATTCTTAAAGAGACAGTCGCTCGTTTAGTCAACAGAAGCTTCCGAGAGAATCGAGATGGAGAAAATAAAAAATGTTGGATTCAAGGCTCAAAGGGAAATTTGACCTAACACAATGAGGGAAGCTTTGATGTGTCGGAATAATAAAACATCTATTTTTAAATACCCGAAAATTTAAAGTTAGTGTTTTTCCTCCTTCGAATTACATATAATGAAATTAAAATCTTGACAAACTGGACTCGATGTAACACCTGCGGAACATAACTCGACCCAGATTCGGTTCGACACTCACCCAGACTGGACCTCCGTCCGCCCAGAGCTCCCTGCCGGCCCTGCAGACTGATCACGCCGCTCTCAAAGGGCCCCGGCGTCCAGGAGGACGTGGCCATCTCCGGGCTCATGTAAGCGTACGGACTGGAGTAGGAGCCCCCCACGGAGCGCACCAGCGCCCCTCCGTACTGGCTCTGGTAGCCGGCGTCCCGCCCGGGGTTGGTGCTGACCGGCGGGCTGTGCGAGTAGGAGAAGCCGTGCGGAGGGTGAGGGCTGCTGGGGGCGAAGGAGGAGCCGTCCGCGGCGCTCTGAGCCCAGCCGTGGTGCCCGGCCAGGCCGTGGGACTGGTGGGTGGACTCGCAGGTCTGCAGGTAGGGCAGGGTGGGCAGCATGGCCGGGACCCTGCTGGTGGGGACGTACACCGGGGAGCTGGCCGAGGGGTGGATGTAGTTCCCGGTGTCGTGGGGGTACGGGGACTGGCTGGAGGACAGGGCCAGGCTTTGGTACATTCTGAAACTTTTAGTCTTCAGACGAATCGAAGGAAGACAGATAGAGATCCGACTGTCCCCAAACTGGAGAACGTTCCTTTCCTTTTGAACCAGCAGCTCTTCAACAAACTTGCACAGATTCTCCCAACTCACTCTGGCAAAAAAAAACATCCAGAAAATAAATTAAAAAAATAAAAATAATAATAGTTCTTAACAAGCACCCAAATATCGACCATATTCATATGTAAAGCAGGACATTATCCTGCTGGCTCATTATTAAAAACAAAAAAGATTGTTTTTTTTTTTGGGGGGGGATTCAGTGCTATATTAAAAATAAACAAAAACAACAACAAAAATGAAAACTTTTAAAGGCACATAAATTAATCGAATTCCAATCGAATTGAAAATATTCCACTTACTCAGTTAAACTAGTTGAATTCTACCGATTAAGGTCGTTTTCCAACATGCTAAAAAGAAACTTAAAATGACACATCAGTTTGTGATTAAGGCATAAAATGTGGAAGAAAGTGACATGAAGACGTTTTCCCTTCAAGATGTGCTTCTGCTGCCTGGGGTTCAGCTAAAGATATGAAATATTAGTAAACTGCACAAAACAGAAGATTTATCCACAGGTCGCATGACCTGCTGGAGGCTGCACAAAAATATACGAGGAAAAACCTGAATCAACATATTCAGCTCCATTCTGACCGAAATGTGGAGGTTGAAGTATAATGACAGATGAGCTCGGAATTCATTTTTATAGTGCATGCACTATTTTTCTTAAAATTGGAAAATTGTCCATAAACAAGTATATATTTCTCTTGGTTTGTTTAAAATTTCAATTCTAATTTTCTTTTCTGTTTTCGTAATTTTACAACAACTGAAAATAGAATGTATTTATATGTTACATTTTGATATCACTTAGTCTATGAATAACAGGCCAAATAGGCCTTCGATTTTTTTTGATTATTCGATGCGCACAAAAGAAACAAAGACATATTAGAATATTAATGATCAACAATCATTGACATGCATCAGTCATATTTTACTGTCGTCGCCCTTGCTTGACGTGAAACGGATGGAAACGACATTAAGTGCCGCTGCTGTCTGTCGAGGCGCAGACAGAGCGCAGGTCCTGCGGCCTCATTACGTCCCGACCCGAGCGGAAACCGAGCGGCAGATCGGTCCACATTTATCTCTCCCCAGTTGCAGATTATTTTTAATCATTTCTTCTATGAATAGAAACTCAAATCGCATAAAGAAAAAAAAAAAAAAAAAAAAAAAGTTGATAATGGCTCCTGCTTCTCTCCGTCCCCAGGCCTCTCGGAGTTTTATCTCACCAGATAAGGACGGTCCGGTGATAAAGCGGTCCGGTTCCCCCTCAGCAGAGACCCAGGAGCTCAGCTGGGCAGACCTGGACCACACCGCGCAGACACGGAGCGTCTCCGCAGCTCTGTGCGTTTGTGTGCAAAAACAAAAGAAGGAAAAAAGAAAGAAAGAAAAAGTTGGAGATGATGGAACCGAAGTTGCTGCTGTTGGGTGACTCTTTACGGTTTATTTCCCCCCCGCTTCTTGTTTGGATCCGCCGGTCGCTGCAGCGCGGCTCTTCCTCTCCGTGTATCTGCAGATTGCTGCTGCAGCTGATAATTTTTGATATGGGTGTGCGTCTCTGCGCTCTCCTACTGGAACATTTGTACTGAGGAGGAAAAAAAAAAAAAAAAAGAAAAAAGAAACACGTGACGCAAGCCGTCGCTCCGAGGTAGGCCAAGGTGGGGAGGAGAGGAAAAGGTGGAGGGGGAGGTCCCCTGCAGCGGAGGGCCCAAAGCTCCGCAGTGTGGGCGTTGAAGGGTCCCCGCTTTCACCAGAGACCTGGGTTCGCTTTTCAAGCCATTCATTCTAAAGATGGATAATCATTTTTAATTATAGATTTTGTTAAAGGGATTTTCTTCAGCCTCTACTACAGAGCCCGGCTCTGGGTCTGTGAAATTTAAAGTTGGCTCTGTCGCTGGAGAGTAAAAGTTCTACTTCATGGTTTTTTGTTTTTAATTCATGTGGAGATGTTTATGAACTCTCTCTCTTTAGGGGAAACAGAGCGATTAGACAATAACCAACCTCATGCAGAGCAATCCAGCGCAACAGATATGAGCGGTTAACAGAGGGAGAAGCATGACGTCACCGGATAAAACGGAATTTATGACGTTATACCTGGTTATAACATATGCAACTATGACCTGTTGTATGTGTTTTTAATAATAATAATAATAATAATAATAATAATAATAATAATAATAATAATAATAATAATAATAATAATAATAATAATAGAGACAGTTTTATTACAACAAAATATTAGAGTATGAACAGCCCAGTGAATCTTTTCTTCCCCTATCCTTTTCTCTTCTTTTCTTTTCTTTTCTTTTCTTTTCTTTTCTCTTCTTTTTCTTATTCTCTTTTCCTTTTCTCTTCTTTTCTTTTCTTCCCTTCTCTCCTTTTCTCCACCAGGCCCTGAGATCGAGTGTCTCTCCTAATGCCATTAAGTCCCGTCTGAGTGAACGCGTCCTGTCATGGGAGCATTAATTAACGCCTCCTGCCTGCCGCTTCATTGGATCTGTTTGTTTCTTCTCCTCTCCTAACAGCCGGACGTCTGGCGACGTCTTTCACCGCCGAGACTGAGCGAATTCTGTTGGTTGAAAATGAGGCGTTTTCATGACAGACAGGCCGAAACGACTATAGAGCTTGAGCTTCATCTGGACATGCATAAATAGTCATATGTTATCCTTTATTGATCAGTGGGAAAAACTCATCTGTGAACATAAAATGTCCAAAAACATCAGAGATGACAGGAAGGGAAGGTAAAATGAACTCAAGTAGAAACCAGAAAATCTGGGAAATCTTTGAAGAATTTGTTCTTTTGCACAAAGTTATATGTAAAAAAATATTTTTATAAATATTGCACCAAATGGGAATAGAATTTCAGACAGACAGACAGATAGAAAGATAGATAGATTCATTCTTTCTTTCTTTCCTTCTTTCTTTGTTTCTTTCTTTTCGTTTTGCTTTGTTTGCTCATTATTCATAACAACACACTGCACAGCATGCAGAATGAGAGAAAAACAAAAAAGCCAAAGGAAAACTGTGAAAAATCTTCAGAGCACTTTAAAAATGGCAGAAAGCATTGCCTGTTGTGAAGAAATACGGGTGTTTTAAAAGTGTTATAAATTGTAAAAAGAAATACAAAAGAGTTTGGTGGAGTTATCTTTATCGAGCTGCAGGAAAACAATCCCATATTTTATTATGAAAAAGCTCCTCAAATGATGCATTTTATGCCTGGGTATAAATAACAGCTCCCTCCAGTGGTTGCTTTGAGAAAAACAATGACCACCGCTCTGAAAAGCTCAATTTCATTTAACTGTTTTCCATTTCCTGGTTTATCATGTTTACATTTAATTATGTACATTACTTATCGAAAAGCCTTCTGGAGTAAATCGCAAACCACATTATGAAATCCTGCTCTAAACTTTTGAACGTTTAAACCAAACAGACAATTCATATTGCAAAAAGTAAAAGCATATTCCTTAAAAAGCTAAGCAGCACAATATGTATTGCAACTTCCAGACATGCTGTTTAAGAGGCACAGTGTATTGCTGGTTTTAGTCTCCTACTGCTTCAACATATGAAGAAAAAGTTAAATTACTATTTTAAAGTTTTTATATATTTTAAGTACTTCCATGTATTTTATTTCTTTTATGTTATTTTACAACAAATTTAAAAATCATGGTAATACAATTTCAATTGAATTTGACTTTTTTTTTTTTACTTTATTTTGCTTGATTTTGTGTTTTATTTGGTCTCTGTTATTGTGTAAAATCAAACATAGACAGTAAGCTAATTCTGTTTTGTTTAAATTTCAATTAGTTGTCACCCTACAGTCTGACTTTATATAACTTTACAAAATAATACAACCACAAAACAGAGAGAGCATAAACAGTTGCAGGATCAGTTGAATGATGAAATAAATCAACTGTAACAACTGGAATAAAGAGGATACTTTGTGGAGCAGGATATTCGCTAATATTTCTGAAAGAATAGCCAAAGCTTTCAACTGTAGATTTTATTTTCCATATTTACTTCTAAAAGCTTTTCCCTGAATGCCATCACAAAAAAACATTTCTCTCCCTGAAAGAGAGAAGTTGTGAGGAAGGTTTAGCAGAGGGAGTAATTGTTCTCTCTCGATGCTGGGAGCCTGATAGCTGCCTTATGGATGAGGTGATCGCTGAGGGCCTGCTCCAGCGCCGCGTCGCTCTGCTCCCCCGCCCCACCGGTCAGTCTGTGGTTATGTCAATAACAACTGGGACTGAGCGATCCCTCCGCAGGCTGCATATCTGCTGTTTATGTCAGTTTTTGCTCATGTTTCTGCTGTTTGGCTGATAGCTCCATCCACCCGGGGAGAGAAGTGTCTTTTCACTTTGATCATCTTCGAATGCGACGCCTCTGTCCTTTATGGCTGCATTCTTTTCAACAGGAATGGAATTTCAGCCTCTGTCTTCATTTTACATACACAAGGCTGCAAGATAAGTGAGGAATTTCCCAAAGGTATTTATTGTCAATGAGGGAGCAGACAGAGTTTGTGCTGTCTGTCTGTCTGTCTGTCTTGTTTTAAAGCTTTTTCTCTAATTTCTTGTCAGCTGTGCAAATTGAAGCTGATCACTCCTGATAAGACCGCATCCACTCTTCATTCATCACATTATCAGCCTCAAAACCATAATGAGCAGTTGGAAGAGATGTGTTTTATCGTCGGTGTATGCGGAGGCTAACCGACCAGAGACAGGAGTGAAGCTCAGGCAGCAGCCGATCCCACGTCTGCAGGACACAGATCCACAGATCTTTTCCGATTCTTTTCTATGAGTATCTCAGACGGGTGAGTGTAAAGATTTGTAGGTCAGGTAAACGGGGCCAAAACAATATTTTCTCCAGGGTAAATATTACTGCAGCATGCATCTCACTTCTCTCTGGGATTTAGTGTGCATCACCATGTGACTCTTCCCCCCTGATAGGACAGCTCCTCTCCCAAAGGGTCATTTTCTCTTCAACCACTCTTGGTTATTGGACAGACACAACATTAACAGATTGGAAAAACATCGTGTTGTTGAGTAAATCTGAGGTGTCACATTCAGACGATTGACATCAAGAATGTCTGGATCCATCCCTCCTTGTTTCATATCAGTTCTGTCAGTGGTTGAAGGGATTAAATTGTTGCTCAAATGTAACAAACGTTGGTCTCCAATCGAACAGAGTCTATCAGACTACCAGGTGTGAAAACACCCATAAACACTACAGCCTACATGAATTTTGTATAGTAGGTTAAATTTTTTTATTCTTAGGTAAGGTTTAATTTTCCAGTAGACATCAGATTAGCACAACTGCATCATCGATCGTGTTTTTAACCTTCAGATTGCCGTCAGGAAATGATGGGGGATGCCATCATGTAATCTCATACTGAAGGCAAATTGTTCTCTAATTCTTTTCCTACACGCCAGATGACTGTTTTCCCATTAATCACCGTTTTCTGCCATTTTCCAGACCACCAGCCTGACCGAGCTTCAGTGGGACTCACTCCTCCTAACTGATGTCATGTTTCCGCTCCATACCGCAACAACGTCCCAACAACGTGAACCTTCACATGCGCTCTCCTGGCCACAGACCTCCACCAGAAACAGGGAACACAAGCAGCAGATAGAGAGGAAGGAAGGAAGAAAGGATTTAAAGGCATACAAGGCCCAAGCCTGTGCAGCGCTGCTCAGTGGGGAATGTAAAGTAGGAGTCAGCTTAATCTCCAGCACCCATAAGAGACTGGCTCCTGTCTGCCTGACTGCCACTGCCATATCTGTGTTTCATTTCAGCCTGTCAGGTCCTATCTGGCTCCCCGAAAACTGCTTCTGCCGGCTGCAGGACCCCCTGACGGTGGGCAGAGGATCTGGACTATTTATTTGTGGTTATTTGTGAATAAATTGCCTTAAACACATGTGTTTTTGCACAGTAATTTAGATTTTTCTTTTTGTAATCTTAAACCCCCCCAAAAAATCCAAACATCAGTATTTGGGGATTACAATAAAAGTTAAAGTTAAAGACAAATTTGAACACACAAACAAAGTGGAAGCAAAAAACAAACAAACAAACCCAAAAAACATACAAACATTCCATAAATTAATTTAAAAACACTGAACGCTTTTTGTCAAGAGACAAAGAAGTTTAGCAAGACAAATCAGAATTATTTTTATTAAATAATTTATTTTAAAATGAATTTCTTGGGACCTTTATTTGACAGTGATTATGTATATTACATTGTGAGAGAAGAGAAGTCATTTGGCAAAGGTCAAATTACATGAGTTGTGCGCTTTACCCCTGGATAACCACGGCCCAGATCAGGTTTATCGTTAAACATCCTGATGTTTATGTTTCCTTTTCAGTCGTGTTCAGGATTTGGAGCTCATTTTTGTGTCTTTCATTTCTATGACCAAAGTCAAGAAATACAGTAAATTCTTACTTTTTCTGAAGTCATTAAAGCTACTATTTTGATAAAAAAAAATATTTGTTACATATTTATTAAAACTCCCACTATGTAGTGACAGCATGGTATGAAACCAATGATATGAAAAAAAATCAAGCTCCTTCCGCAGCGGTAACCAGAGACAACCAATCAGAGTCAGGAGGCGTGTCTTAGCGTTGTCAGTCACCCTCTGTGTACAGCTGCTACTCAATTAAATTCAGTTCATTTATAAAGTGACAAATCACAACAAATTCCTCACCCCCCCTTCTTCCTCCACTTGCTCTCTGCTATGCCACAGCTACCACAGCCTGTTATGAATGCTAAGGCTAGATAGCCTTAGCATGTTGGTGTATAAATAGTTTTCCTATAATGGTAGGTTGTTTCTCTCCCATTAGCACATCTAGCAAAGAGTACATGAGATTGATTGACAGCAATAAGACCCTCCTCCTGGCTCTGATTGGTTGTTTTTGATTGGGAGCGGCTCATTTCTTCAGATGGCAGTAATAGATCAGGGAGGAAGTGAAAGAGATCGTCTGTCTCATAACACACTATGTGGCGACAGTTTCAAAAAATATGTAAAAAACATGTTTATTTTCAATAAAAGTTAAATACTGCAGCTTTAATTGCTGTTCCTTTTAATATTTCCCCCCATTTGTTATCTGAACTGCATCTGGGGCTCTGTACTCCATCTGCAGGTGAGATTTCAGGGAAAAACTTGGACAACACAACAACAGCCTCTAGTTAGCCACGAGGTGTGAAAAACACAAGGAGAAAAACCAAAAGCAGTGGAAAAACTGACAGAGGTGCTAGAAGTTACTGGCTGCATGAGCTCCATATCATGCAAACAGTATCTTGCTGCCACAGAAATAAATCACTTTGACCTTTCTACAAAAATTTTGCATTTGCTCAAAGCTCTTCATAACCCCTCATGCGCTAGTAATATAAAACCTGCAGAGTTTCCAATACACCCCAGAAGAGCTCACCAAGATCATGAAGACCATCATCTTTCAGGCTTATTTTCTACATCTATATCCAGCATTAAGAAGGCGTACTCAAAACAACTTTTAGAGTGTTCCATAAAGCTTTAATTAAACCCTGGGATTCCACACCGGCCTGTCCTGCGCAGTGATCCCACAAGTTCCCTCGTATCTGATAATGCTGAAAGCAATTACTTGTCATTACTCAATTTAATCTGCTGCAGATTGAGCCTTTCCTTTTGTCCAAACAGCGATGAAGAGTTAAATAGGGTGTGAAACATCTTGCTTTCCCCAAAGTACCATAAACGGCTAATTTACACAGATCATTTACCGATGGTTCAGCCACACAACACAGAGCCTCACAGCCAGCTGTCACTTCTGCTGCAAACAGAGGTTCCCATCATCAGAGACAAAACCAAAAGAGACACCTACAGGTACTTTCAGTGGATATATGTCTATATTTCAAAACCGATTTGGTTTCTTCTGGCATCCATGCTGATTTTTTTTATGTATTTTGTTGCCTGCTTGTGTCCAGAGAACAACTGGGCCAAACACCGATATGGGTCACAGGAGATGAACTTAAGACGCACAGATGACTGATAATCCATGTTTGTGCATGTGTTAGAGTGCAGGACTATTGACTGATATCTGTAGACAATAGGATGCGATCAGTCACCTGACAACGCCGTCATAAGATTTGTTTACCCGCAAATGATGGAGTGAAGACGAAATATTCTGAAGACTATAAAAAATGAGAGCGAGAAAAAAAACACTTTACTTCAGGAGGATCACTGTGTTTTCAAAGGGCTGAGATAATATCATTAAAACCAATATAGACCCACAAAATCAATCAATCCTCTTCAATATTCTCCCTCTCGTAATACTAATATTACTAGCATGGTCGGTATGGTCAGTTAAAAAGCGTCTCTGTGCTCCTTAAACAGAGTTCAACTCTTTGGGCGTATTACAAGGTAAAATCGGTGAGGAAATATTTTACAGGTCAATTGTGTGTTTAGTGAGAGCGGATTCAGATGCTTGAGTAAATGAAAAGAGAAAAGTACAAAGTAAATCACAGAACCATAGAGTTGATAGAAAAGTGTAATGTGAAGGGATGTTATAAATATATAGAAAATTTGTTTGGCTAAAATAAATGTCTCAATATAAATGAAATAATATTTAAAAACTTGACATGGGTACAACCTTGAACTAAAATGTAACAGATAGCCTGATTTCAAATGAACAAGTTGTTGGTGAAAGTGTAAATCTTCTATTTTTATAGATTGATGGAAAATATTTAATCAGGTCTACTAGTTTTGGTGCCACTAGACGGACTTAAGGTGTACTTAATTCTATGTAAATCCGTGTTTATATATTTATCAAGCACATTATGATAAATTTAACTCCCACTCACTTTTTTTGTCTTAAAAAATCTTTCAACCTTTGCTCAATGCTGCAAAGGTGTGTATATACATCTTGAACTTTTCTCACATAAAAACAACCTTTACTGTTTGAATGTTATTTGCCATTGTCTGACAAAAAAGTAGTACAATAAGAGTAAAATTGAAGGGAAATAAAAAAAAAAAAAAAAGAGAGAAAGCCGGACTTGCATTTTCTGTTTGGTTAGAGCCCACAAACTGGTCCCAGTGCAGCTGACTGATGGGACAGTTTAACACCATGTTTAGCTCCTGCTGCTGTTGTTCCAGACCAAAGTCAGCACATTCAAATGGTTTACTGCTAAAGAATATCATGTCCTCTGCAAACGACTTCTTCCTATTACTTCTTGGAAAATCTTTTTGAATATATAAATTGGGTAGTAGGGTTGGTCCGCCGCAAGAAGGTCCTGAGTTTGATTCCCGGCCTGGGGTCTTTAAAGCATGGAGTTTGCATGTTCTCCCTGTGCATGTGTGGGTTCTCTCTGGGCACTCCGTGTTCCTCCCTCAAAAACATGACTTTCAGGTTGTCTGGTCTCTCTAAATACTCTCAGGTGTGTGTGTGTCCATGATTGTTTGTTCTGTCTGACTCTGTGTTGTCCTGTGATGGTCTGGCAATTTTAGTTGATTTTCATTCAAAAATACTAATTAATTATTTGCTATTGGTGATTGTCTTATAGAGCTATATGGTGGTGAGAGCTTGGCTGGAGGCTAAAGCTCCAAGGTGGAGCTTTGGGGAAATAGGTGGTGCTTTGCATGAGCAGGCGTTAAAGCTGCAGTGTGTAACTTATTAAAAAAATAAATAAAATGTTTCTTACATTTTAAACTATCACTATTTCCTGATCAAACATTACGAGACACATAATTTGTGAAAATGAAAAAAAAACTGAAATCAAGCTCCTTCATGCAACATAATTGAATTTCCCACAAACAAACTAGATTTTCCAGACAAACCAACAGGAGTTCATTTAAAGCTCAATCAACAAGGCTGGTGTGAAAACACCTTTACTTCTTGGAAGCCGACGACACAGAAATGAAGGCAGGATGACCATACACAACCACACACATTTTTTATTTATTAATCTTTTTCAAATGGAGTGAAAAAGCACAGAAAAACAACCCGGGTACCAAAGCTGCTTGCAGACACGCTCAAAGGCACGGCATGTACTCGGGCTGCAGGGATCTTATCTTGAGCAAACGCGACTCCACATGTCGGACCGTCTGCTGGAGAGCTGATGGAATGTCCAGGTGAGCTCTTCACCTGACTCACCTGACTCCATGTGACTTATATGAAAACAAAACTTCCTGTCTGCATAATGCTGTTGACAGTAGCTGCAACCATTTGCATCAGTTCAGTTTATTCATCCAGTTAGATGTAGAAATTCAATCATGAAGGCAGAAAACAAAACAAATACAAAATACAGTGCTGTGCATATTTATTGGGAGAACTAATAAAGGGGGGGATTTTTCTTTTTTTTTTTATTGTCACAGCCAATGAGGACAGAAAACAATTGTTCAATGAAAAATTCTCTTTGAAATCTGAAGATTTTCAACGGTTCCCAGTAGAACCAGTTTGATTTGTGTTCATTTTATGTTTAAATATGAAAAATGTATTAGTTCTAAGTATATTTCCATATTACCTGGAATGGTTTATCAAATACTTAAAGAGATAACCAAATCTTCCAAAAGGTGAAAGAGTAATAATATTGCCGTACTGACAAATGATTTCACTTGTTTTTGGTTTATATCTTATTGAATCTAGTAATTTTTCCATATTCCCACACTGCACTTTCATGTATTGTTCTTCGTATGCATGTCTTTGCATTCCTTAGAAAGATTTTATATTACGCATACATTTTGTTGCTGTCCCTAAATTCTTGCACCATTTTTGATTTTGCTTCTTTTTCCTACTAAAAAAAGGTCGCCTTGAATTTGCTTTTGAATGAAGCTTTTGATGCTTTTTCACTGGCCATCAGCAAAACCTGAGTGAATAACTCCAGTGTAGTTGAGTTAATCACAAATCGA